AATACTAGTCTGTCAAACTACGGCCATCTCATAAATTTCCTTTATAATTTATTCACCCACTAATCAACTTATTCAACTGTTTAAAGCGATTGTACAGCTTGTGAATTTTTCATGATTTAATGGAACAATGTAATTTGTTGGGCAATAGTTATGCTCATTCTATCGGTGCTAACCAATACTGTCAATTAATGTACACAATATAACTCCACTGAATTAAAGTATTTGATCCGTCATGGAGTTGAGTTACTAAACTTATTCCAAGAACGAGGTTTATTCTATTGAAAAACGTTTCACTATCATACAAGACATCAATATCAGTAAATGAGATTCATAACACACACGTACCTTCATGAGACTACTAAGTGGAATTCCATACCTTCACTTTGTAACACTGGTTCACTGAGAATAATGTCTAGGGTGACATTGAAATATCAGAGGACAAATTAACCTAAACATTAACAACCTGAGCTATAACTATTTTCATTCATTTCTAAATCAGAAATATTGAACAAAGTGATAAATTCTTCGTTCATTTATCTAATTTCTGTTTTCATCCTCCTCTGTAAGGAAACAAGAGCATAGAAATGAAAAAACTATCCAAGGTAATTAACGTGTGAAAGGCATAAAAATGTGTCGAAAGCAACAAGAGGTAAACTAGTAATGAATAAGTAAAGTTTATCACTAAGAGAAATTATTATTATTTGTCCCTTGGGTTCCCACTGGAACATACGCTCTCAGTAGCACATCTCCATTCCAATCTGTTCTCTGCAATCTTTCGAACCTGGCTTCACCACTCCCCACAAGCTCTCATTTATTCCTCTCACCATCGCCTCGGATGCCCAATTCGTCATTTCCCTATTCGGTTCCACTCAAGAGCCTGGCCTGGTGCGTGATGTTCCCGAACGGTCTTCTCAGTGTATACCCAATCCATCTCCACTTCCTTCATCTGCATATTTGTTGAGCGACAGCCTCCTGCTTCGTTGGTTCGTTGTCAGCCATAGTTTCTTGTTGCTTATTCTGATTATTCTGGCCATCTGAGCTTCATTAGCCAGCCAGTGTAGGCAGTTGTTGATTAATATCTGTAGTTTGTTGGAAATCCCTTTCGTAACGCACCAAGTCTCTGAGCCATACAGAAGCACTAACTTGACGTTGGTGTTGAAAATCACTAAGAAAAATAGCTGTAATAATTGTTCAACAACCTTTATTATTGTAAGTCAATTGAGCTTTTGTTGTCTACTTGATAATTAGTAGTAGAATCTAGGATGTACGTTTCGTCCTGCTTGGGACTCGTCATCTGGACATCCCTAAGTGATGTTTTCCCCATTGAGACTCATACCCATTCCTCATCTCGTCAAGTGGCCAAGCGTCACCCACTAGGCCAATAGGGACACAACAGCCACCCTAATTCAATTGTACAGTAAACAATTAAATTTGATGTCACAATGGGAATTATGAATTTAATTAAAGTTGCATTCCTATAGTTACATAAAGTTTCATTCATACAAATAACATTTTTCTCCGGATACATCGTAAATAGTCTTAATAGGGTGTACAAAAACAAAGGAAACCATTGTAATTCTTCATGTTAATTAAACATATATAAATCAAAACCAGAGAGATTAATTCTCTGTACAATAATGAAGCCAAATGTTCTAGAATAATGAACTATTGACATCGATATTGAAGATGATACAGCTATACACACACACAACACACAAAACACACACACACACACACACACACACACACAAGATGGAAAAACTTATGAAGCCATACGAAAGACAAAATATGCTATTAGGCATGAATAATAGGCATATACATGATTCTATATAGAATTATAGGAGCATTTGCAGATGTTTATGTTTGCGAAGAAACCAAAAAAAGAAGGTTACTTCTATTATTCCAGTCTGTTTTCAGTAGTGTTGTTCCTTTTTTAAAAGAAAACACTTTTTCCAATATGCTTGTGTTCATTTACATAAGAAAAGCAAGTAATAAATAAATAAATAACGATGATTAATGTTTGTTGATACATACAGTCATCCATTTTTGTACTGGATACCGGATTGATCGAACTCTTTTGGCATATAGTCTCCTGTCCAACTGGAAGTGGAATCCAGGACACGAGTTTTGCCTAGTTTGTGACTCATCAGCTGGATGTAACTACACCTCAGTGAGTGATATTGTTTCCAACAAGACTCGAACTTCATACCTATCACTTCAAACGCCAATAAAGGTTGATACTTTTGATACAGTAAAACAATGGAGGATTACAAGTATCAAAAAATTATTATAATTCTATCTGAAGGCTTATGAAGATTTATTAATTGATTTTAAGTTGGAATTCATTATGGACTGATATCAGTTGGAGGAACATTAAAATCTGAGAGCACTTGACAGCTGTTTCGACATAATATGGGGCTCTTCAGCAGTGCGCATATATGACCCCACCTTGTCAAGGATCGAACCCGCGACCTTCAGGTTCCATGGTCAGCATGTTCCCATTGAGCCTCTGGGTCGGAATCCAAACACGCACATTTCCTACTTCTGTCAGTTCATAATATAGCGTGACCTCCATCCAATGTCGTCGATTTGGTTGACTCCACTGAATTCCGACCAGTGGCTCAGTCTTAACGTGCTGGGTTCGATCCCTGATGAGGTGGGGTCATGGGTGCGCAGTACTGGGAAGTTTCATACTAGGACAAAACAGCTATCTAATGTCTCCAGGCTCCAAATATTCCCCCAACTAATGTCAGCCCATGATGAATTCCAACCTAAAATAAAATAATTATAAAAAGCACCTATTGTATAACAGGTGGCTGTCGTTCCCCAGTGGCCTAGTAACTGATGCTTTGGCGTTTGAAGCGATACGTACGAGGTCTGAGTTTTCTTGGGAACACTGATCACCAGAGTGCAGGTACATCCAGCTGATGAGTGGCAAGTGAGGCGAAACTCTCGTCCTGGATTCCACTGCTGGCCTCAACCAAGTCAATCATAAAACTGACGATTCTAGATTTATACTTCTCTTTATCGTTCGTCTAACGATGAGTAAGTCAACAGCTTCCTTGGCAGAGATTCAAAGATGCTGGTAGCTTCTGAAGGTCACTGTTGCACCTCTCAAACATTAAGGCGTATGTCAAGGGATTTCCATAATTATGGGGTGTTAAATTGCTTGGCTGGTACCATTTGTCACTTTCTCAATAACTTATATGGAAACCGCTTATATATTATACAACCATAAAGCATACTTACTCAAGACGGGAGTTATGAAGTTAGCCAATTTTTTGTTTATTTAGGAGGTTTGAAGAGGATTAGTCAATTTCAAAGCATTTCTTACCATGAAGTGATATCAAATGGAGCACTGTTTCATTCTAGTTTAGGACTACTTAGAAGTGTACACCAACACTTCAGTTGAAGTCGAATTTATGTCCATCACATCTGATGACGAACACTTAACTACTCACTCTGTAGGTTGGATTCCAATTGACCATGTCTTTCAACTTCTGGTTTGCCTAAAAGTTCCAAAAAACTTCTACCTGAAGAGAAAACCAGTTTGAGTGTGAAAATGGTACCTCACTAGCGACAATAGATGTTAGCAACACCATACAGCTAATTGACTTTTACAGGAGAATATGATCTGTTGGGCACTAATCAAGTAGTCTTGTGTTAAATTGATCTCTACCATACATGAAGGTCTTGGGATCAGTCCTAAGTGGGTTAGTAGTCCCAAACCGAGGTGAAACAAAGCTTCTAAATCCGTAATGATTTTCAGCAGTTAATCTTGAATGTCGTATTTTACAAACGAAATTAGGCGATGGAGTTCGACTGAATAGAATGCCTACAGTACTAAGATGCAGCTACAGTGAAGCAGTGGTGCGACTGACATCCACGTTGATCAATACTTCCCAGTAAGCTTCAACTTTCTATTTAGGTAGACAATACTATAAATAGTATTGAAACTTGATGAAAGGACTAAAATATGTTGTTGTTAACTCCTAGTTAGACAAGATTCTCTTTTAACTTTGAAAAGTTAAATATTTTTGTCTTGTAATGATACTACTTTTTGTTATTCAGTAGCACGAGGCTAATTATTAAAAACCTGTTTCTGTGACAAGTCGTGGTAAAAAACAAGTACCAAGTTCCAATGTCCTGGATGGTCTAACGAACCCATTTATGAAGCCATCTGATATCTAGAAATGTTTCACTGAAATGTCGTCAAGTCCAATAGCTTGCGAACTCATTTTTCCAAAAATGTTTACATTTAAATCCCAAAAGTTACTCTTAAACTAGTCTACAAATGCATTGTTATTATTACTAGGATATTAGAAGATTTAGATTTACACATTCCCAAGGAAACTATACGGTTTCTTCTCTTTCAGTGATGCTTCTAAGGAGTATTTAGGAAGTTGATAGGGAAAATGAAAAGAACTTGAACTGTGCACAAAATATTAGTTCAACTTTGGAGGTTGATTGTGAAATTAGACTGATTCAGACAAGAAAGACTAACCAATCACAACGAAATGACCTTAGTATACCTCATTCAAACAGCGAAAGTCTGTCAGGTAGGTGATATTTCATGTTGTAGAGATATAGGGAGATGAAACACTGACCACTCCTATTCAACAGACGTTCATCTAGTTGGATACTGGAGCAAAAGATGAACTGAGGTGGAACTACCAATTATGAATGATAAAATTCAATCACTTTACTTCATCTCGAGGTTTTGATCACGTTTTCTAGTTTGACATTGAAACATCTGTCAGCCAAAATTTTAGCTTAGGGAACAATCTAATTTGGATGGTTTTTAAAGCTTCTATAGGAATGATTGATTTAACCTACTCTGAGATTCAGTGACGGTAAACTTTTGGAACCTGAAACTCATCTTGAAGACATTTGGATTACAGGTTTTTTGTTACTTACCTCCTAAACAGTCATTATGTACATACTTTAAAGCCAAATAATTAAAAAAATAATTTTTGAAAGCATCTATACAAATTGCTTACTTCGATTTAGTAAAAGTCACTGATGCATTAATTCCCCCATGATTATTACTGTTCAGTGCTAAATGATTGAAATTTTGATTTGATGTTCCAGTGATATTTGGCGTTTTTAGGTGTCCTGTAGTAATTGAATTGAATGTGGACAATGTAGAAGTAATTTCTTGTTGATTTGAAGGAAGACTATTATTTCTACTATTGTTACTGCTTGTACTACTGTTACTACTACTAATATTTGTATTGTCAAGGGTTATTGATTTGTGTTCATTATCATTATCAAGATGGTTAGGGATTTGTTTTGAAGGACTAGTGGTAATACTATGTAAAGGTTTCAGTGATTGACAGTGTAAATTAGACAGTTTGTTCATTTGATCTGATATATGATTTTTTTTGTAAATTTGTTTCTCTTGACATGATAATAATTTTTCATTTTCTTGACAACTTCCAGTTTTTAATTTGAGCATTGATGAATGAAATTTCGATGGGGATGAAAGCATTAATGGGGGTTGTGATAACGATGATGATGATGATGATAAAAACGGAATACAGGTGGGAATATGTACTACTGGTGACTGTTTCACCTTTCTTGATTCTTGTTTAAACTTTGATAGATTGAAAAACAAGCCCAAAATATATTTTAATTTACTATCGACAATATCTAAAAGGAGAAAAGTGAAAAAAAATGAAATGAAATTCTATGGAAAAATTTAATCATAAGTTCAAAGGTGACTTTTACGAACACAATGATATATCAATTGGAAAAAAAAACAATAAGATTTTCCAGCTACTGTCCAGTTGTTTAGACATTTTTTAAAACCAACAATATTATAAACTACGGCTAACCTATGGGGTCGAACCCAGGATTATAAGCTCTAGAAGAAATATAAATCAACATGAATCTTCAAACTTCATCCTAACACGCTCTTTAGTGTCATGATTCCCTTGTTTCATCCCTTGACTAGGCTTAAGCGGAGTACAATAAGACAGAATAATAGAGATTCAGTTGAGACTGATCAACCCTAGAGGCTACATTCATATGGCGTAGAACTGAAGTGGTATCATGCTGCTGTCCATCCTAAAGCAAAATATTTAAGCCGCATCATCCTGGAGAGACTAAACGATGCTCTGGATTTAAAACTACCACCGGAACACGCTGGATTCAGGAAGAAAAAATCATATGCGCATCGAATCGCAACGCTACGCTACATATCATCATAGAATGGTTGTCAACTTTCTACCATACCTCAACTTCATCGAATTTGAAAAGGCCTTCGACAGCGTTGAACGAGAAGTAATTTAGCAGGCGGCTGCTTCAACACAAAGCAATGCACAAGCCTTTATCAACCTCATTCAACAACTATATGAAAACGCCACATGTCAAGTAATTCACAATGAGAAGCTCAGTGATGCGTTTGAAGTGAAGACAGGAAGGAGTAAGACAAGCTGTTTACTATCACTTACGATTTTCCTAACTGTGGTGGACTGGATCATACAGCAAACAGTGAGGAGTGAGAAGAGGGATATACTCTGGCTGGACCGATGAAAAAACCCCAGGAGAAGACTCAGATTTCACCGATGACTTGTGCTTAACGTCTTGTGGCACAAACTCGAAGATTTACAGGTGAAAACTAACAAGTTGACAGAAGAGGTGAGGCAACGAAGACAGGACTTCCTTCAGGTGAACGTAGAGAAGACAAGGTGATGATGATACCGAACCACCACCAACAACAAGTTGCAATCACCATCAACTGAAGGAACTTAAAGGAAGTAGTCTCTTTCATCTACCTGACCAGGCATCATCGTGTCAACTACAGGCGACGGCACAGATGGGAAAGGCAAAGCAACCGGATCGGAAAAGCAAGACAGGCTTTCATTAACCTGAAACCAGTATGGAGATCTTCCGCACTCACCACAAAGCATGAACAATATTCGGATTTCCAACACTAATGCCAGTCAAATAAGTCAGTGCTCCCATGTCATGGTTCAGAAACCTGGCGAAATGCACTTCCGACAAACTACAGATATTAATCAACAACTGCCTACACTGACTGGCTAATGAAGCTCAGATGGCCAGAATAATCAGAATAAGCAACAAAGAGCTCACTCTGGGAACGAACCGACGGAGCAAGAAGCCATCGCTCAACAAATATGCAGATGAAGGAAGTGGAGATGGATTGTGCATACACTGAGAAGACCATGTGGGACATCACATGTCAAGCCAGGTTGTCGAGTGGAGCTGGGATGAGAAACGAGAGTTGGGCGTCCGAGGCGATGGTGACATGGAGGAGATGGTGTGAGAATAAATGAGAGTTTTTGGGCAGTGTTTGAGCCAGGTTCGAAAGATCGCAGAGAACAGATTTAATGGGATGTGCTACTGAAGCGTATGTTCCAGTGGGAACCCAAGGGACAAATAATAATATAGTATGGAAAACTGTCCTTCATTATAACCAAATGCTGAAGTTGTTGTAACAGGGACTCTGTTGTGTGTGTGTGTTGGGTAGGGAAGAAATTGCATTCTATTTATATCTCGATTAACTACACATTTGTCTAGTGATCGATTAAACAAAATGGAAGTAATAAAAGAGAACTGCAAGCCCATTGACTACGTTCACTTCCAACAGAATCCGAACTCAAGAGGTGGGAAATCACACGACCAAAGACGTCAATGAATAAACAGAGTTTTTTATTTACTACAATATTACCAAGTTACGGTTTGATCTTCTAGTAGTGAACAGTGTGTCGATCTTGAGTAGGATGGAGGTAAGCAGGTGGTCAATAAAGTTCTACCCTTTATTTTGCACTCTAATAGTAGATTGTATCCAGACGGGGTGATGATCGAAGGTGGTCTCTGGTTCGTGTCCGGCCACGGTCCAGATTTTCATTTCACTTTCAATCATCACACAGTATAAATATAAGTCTGCCAAACCGTAGCTTCCCCAGGCAGTCAAAATGATAAGTAGGTTGTATGACTATGTTAACGGAAGTATACGATTTCGAAGACTTTGCTAGTACCTTGATCTTGTGACTGAGTTGACAATCTTGAGGTCGTTAATTCAAATCAATCATTTTTTTACAATGAGAACAAACTTTCAACTAAGTGAATTTTAGATGATTCAACGAATATACATCATTCTCATCCTTGTTTTCTGTAGATAATCCCCCTCCTTAGTTATAATAACAGTTCTATGTATTATCAATAAGTTTAATTCTGCAAACAGCCTTTTCATTCATCACCACACATCTTCAAGAAGCTGTTATGAATATAAAACCTGTACCAAAGGTAAAACCTATTCCAAGGAATTCTAACCTTGACAATAATACAAAAAATATTGACTAAAACAGATGGTAAGAACGGTTGGAATTAGCATGTAGTTGGAAGACATAGAGTATACCAAATGATACTAGATTCCCTTGATCCTTAAAATTGTTAAATTCTTAATAAAAAGCATTCAAATGTCAAAAGGTACTTTGAATATATCAGATCTACTGAAAAGAGAAACATTCCGACGAAGATAAGTGATCTTTGCTCTGACTATTTGATACTTTATGCTATGAATTATGATAGATTCACTGATTACCTCTCAGGATGACTTTATTTCACTTTGATTTTAACGAGAGAACCTATATGAATGAGAAGCAAGTGTGATAATGAACTGACAGTAATATATTACCCACTCAGTATATCCTTGATGATGATACAGAGTCGAAACTTCACAACTTTCTTTTTTATGCATGATATCGGTAACATCTATTCAAGGTTATTAGATAAGTTATTTTGTTTTCTTACACTTAAACAAATAAGTTGAGGGAAGAATCCAATTCAGAGATCAGGTTGATATTCATCAAAAGCCGTTTTTTTCCAGTATAGGACTCCTCAGCAGTACTCATCAAACCCGAACCAAGGACATTAAGATCCGATGACATGTTACCATTGAGTCAGTGGGTCGGAATCCAGTGGTTCACTTTCTTCTACTTCTCTCAGTTTGTAACGTAGTGTGACCTCTATACAATACTATTGTCAATTAACTATCTTCATTTCCAACTTGGTTCATCCTACTGGTCACATTCAATCAGAACCTTAGGAATCTCATCTAGAAGCAAGTCAATGATAAGTCCTACAGAGTAATTCAATTTGGAGATTTGGACCTAGATCTAAGAAACTTACCATTGGGAAATTTCACAATAGAATAGTGTAGTTTCTCAATATTCTAATTTCTCTATCAGTTTTGGTCAAGCTGCCAACTTGAATTCTACAAAGTACTCATTTTTTTTCAAGGGTCTCACGATGATAAAGGAATGAAAAATTATACAAAATAGAAGTATTGACTAGTAATGGTTGAATTCTTCTTTAAAATACAATCAAATAACTTACCTTGAGCAGTAAATCCATTTGTTTCAACACCGAGTTGTTGAAGTACTTGAAAACAAGCTGATACATTATGAAGCTGAAAATGTGTTTGTTTTTTTAAAATAAAAATAACCAAGACATCATCATCGTCATCTAGTAACATATTATTACTGTGAAATTAGTCGAATAATTCAATAGATAATAAACATTGTAACGGTGTATATGTATGATTACTTGTTTCGTACAAATTTGTAGAACTCAACTGATTAATCCATTGATAATTGGAGAATATTTGTAGGTCAGGCTGATGATTTTAGTTGGGTTGAATTCCTTGAGTTGCACAGTTTAATTGTCAACTTCTTCCTAAAGATATTCCCTTCAAAGACAATGAAGCCTTCCTAATAACTCCAACTAGTTCAGAGAACACAGTGCAATTAAGTGCTGATACATCTTTGCAATAATAAGATATTTTACTGTTTATCCTTCCTTAGGAATTGATTTTCCCCGAAACTGACAGTCACAAAGATCAGTCACTAATTCTTTATACTTATAGAATGCTAATGAATGTCGGATGAATGATGAGCATAATAGAGTAGCCTGATTCTGAATAGTAGATTTGATCAATTGTGCCAAAAATACTTATATGTTTCGACTAACTAGCTTAAGGATCGTGTATGAGGAAAGCAACATAACTCGACAATTTGTTAAATGGAGTAGATACCTGAAAGTATGCCTTCAATTTAACTATTACACGTTGAAACTATAAAGGTAAGCATCAATGTTGAATCAGTCACTACACTTTTAATTTGTGAAACTTGGCTCATACCAAAGTTTGTATGTCGTTCAAGTGTAGATAATTCTAAATTACTAATATAATAAAACGTCATTCATTATTTTGGTACTTCCCAATGAATGTTAAACAAAATAAATTTGTTTTAACTGCCATTTCACTATGCCTAATGCTAATAGCCTTAACAAAGTTATAGTAAACCGGGATTTACAATATCCTTCAAGATTATATAGGATAACTTGACAAGTCTTCTCCTTCTGTATGAATGATTCTATGTTGTCAGAGTTGTAGAATAAAGATGATATCCATATAGAGTGTGTGAATTACACACTGAGATTTGTATGTACACATATGTGTGTTGATAGTTCTTATCGCCTTGATGTATGTTGATTATGTCAGTATGTGTGGAGTGGATGGGTAGAGACCAGGTCGAACTACCTTCCATTCTCTCATTCTTATTTAGACAATTTTGATTCCATTTACTGTTTCGTCCTAGTATGGGACTCCTCAACATCGTGCA